CTTGAAGAAATAAAACTCCCTCAGCTCTTAGATGTGTATATAGTGCTTTAGATCCTTGGAGGGAGATGGCCAACTAAATGCAGAATGCCATCTTTAGTCTGGCCCATGCCATAGGGAGACCCTTGTCCTGTTATGAGATGTGAGATGCCTGTAGCTTCGGTCCAGGCCACGTCGGGGTAAAGTGTTCTGGACCATGAGTCAGAAGACCTGGGTTCCACTCCCACTTCTGCCACTTAGCAGCTGGGTGAATTTGGGGGAGTCAGCCTGTCTTTCAGTTGCCTCATATGTAAGGAGGGAATAATATCTACCCTACATTAATATGTAGAACAGGAAATTTCCAAAGCAAAGCTTAAAGTATAATGTGCTCTTATCCACAAAAATACTTTCTTCAGAGGCATTCAGCCTCCTGCCTTCAGGCAGGTCCTGAAGTATCCCTACTTTACAGATGAAGTGACTGAGGCCTAGAAAGGCCAAATGACTTGCAGATGATGTTTTGAGCTGATCTTGTCTTCGTTTCAGAGAAAGATCTTTATGCAAATGTCACCTTCTCTGTGACCACTCTATTTAAAATTGCCTTTTGCCCCTCCCTCTATACACACACCCCTGGTCCCCCTCTCCTGCTTTATTTTTCTCCACAGCATTATCACCATTTAACATATTATATATACTTAGAGATGGCTTACCTGCTGAACATTGCCTTATAGTACATTGTAGGCTGGCATTTCAGAAGCAGAGGAATGAAGTGTAGTGATTAGAGTGAGCCCTGGGCATTGTGGGTCTTGGGTCTTGTCTTCTGGCTGAGAAGGGATTCTGCCAAGTAAAAGGATCTTAGAAGCCTGCTTAGCTAGGTTCAGCTTCTAGGTCAAGGACAAAGCTACTAGTAGATAATGTTTGGAAAAAGAGATCTGAGAACTAGGACTCGGGTTCCTTTGCGCTTGTGCTTGGTCCTGGGTTCTGTTGTGCTGGGGGGGCCAAGAAGGTTCTGAGGGCTCAGGTTTCCTAAAGTGAATTCTCCTATAGGGTTGTCCAGTTGGGAATAAGGCTACTATATTAAAACTTTAGGTTTATGAAAGATACAATGATTAAAGATAGAGGGATTATTTACTTATAAAAGGGTTCTGGGCATTGATGTGCTACAGATGACAAAACCCTGGACTGAGACTTAGCAGCCCTGGGTTCCAATCTTGGCTTTGCAGCTAATTTTCTGGGTGACCTTTGGTAAGGCACTTCTCTAAAGCTGGTTTTCCCCATATCTCTCTAAGTTGTAAGAATCGTGTGAGAGGGTAGGTTTAAAAGTCTTTAAAACCTATAAAGGATGGAAGGAAATGAATATTAGCATTTATTAGGTGACTTCTAAGAGCCAGCCAGTATAAGATGTTTTTGTCAGGAAAATTAGCTCAGTTAATCCTCACAACCACTTGGACCATTTTATAACCATTTACAGATGAGGGAACTGAGCCTCAGGGGGGTCTGTCTTCAGAGAGTCAGTAACTTTTTCAGGGTTCTGAGTCTACTGCATGAGCTCCTTCCTCAGATGTGGGTCTTGGCCCTCAAGAGACTTCCAGGTGACCCTGCCCTGGCTGCTCCTTGGAGCACTGCTGCTTGTCCTGGCATGATTCTCTACTGAACTTCAAGATGGAGAAATAAATAGTTTTTGTTATTCGGTGGCATTAAGATGGGGATTGTGAAACGTAGCAGTCCTAAGCAGTGTTCTGGGTCAGCAGCCTGGATGGGATGGATTAGAGTGGTCCCAAGATCTTGGGCTTTGCCCAAACCCACTGGACCTTAGCATTTAACCTGTTGATCTCTTCTTCTTAAAACTCTTCTCCCTTGGCTTCTGTGACACACTCTCCTGTTTGTCTTTGTATCTCTATTCCTTCTTGGTCTCTTTTGGCTCAAGTACCGTCTCCATCCCTTTACTGTTAAGATATCTTAAGAGTCTGTCATCTTCTTCACTTCTTAGCATTTTCTCCCTGGGTGATGTCATTCATTCCCTAGGTTTCAACTCCACTAATTTCCTAATAATTCCAAAATCTCTATATTCAGCTCAGATTTCTTCCTTGAGCTTCCAACTCCTATATTCATCTGCTTGATGGGTACTTCCACCTGGATGATCTAAATAAACTTTAGCCTAACATTTCTAAAGCCAACTCCATCATTTTCTCATCAAATCTACTTCTTTTATTCATTCCCCATCAGTGGTTCCATTATCTTCCTGATTACTCAAGCACAGAAACTGAGCATCGTTTTGGATTTTTTTCTTCACTCATTCCTATATACCATCAGTTAAGGAAAGCTAATATTACTTCCCTTTCCTATTACCACTGTTTTTGTTCAGTTCCTAATAATCTCTAACCTCAACCAGCCACAGCCTCCTGTTACCCCTACCTCTGGTTTTGTCTACATTGAAATGTAGCCTCCAATTAGCCACCAAAGTAATCTCTCTGAAGCACAAATATTACCATCATTCCCGTGCTTGAAATCCTTCAGTTGCTCTTGATAGCCTTCAGAGTGACATTTACATCCCTTAATGTGGTAAACACAGAAGGCTGTTTCTGATCTGCCTCCTCTGTATCTTTGCCTTATACTTCATGCTGCACAGCAGCAATCTACTTGTAGTTCCTTGTGCTCACTGTTGCTCTTTTGCAGGCATAGCATAGTTCCTGGCATAGCATAGATGCTCATTAGTTGAACGATAATAAAATGTATAAATGTGAACTACTGGACTAGAAGTATCCCGGGTTCAGAGCTTCTAGAATGGGGTATTAGAGAACCAACTTAGCTAGAGAGCCTGGAAGTTCCCTTAACTGAGGGGATGTGTGAACCCCACTGACATTATAAAATTCTTTTCTGCTCTTGGTTTTTTGGTGAGGGACTTGAGCTGCAGCACTGTCCTAGGATTCAGGAGACTTAGACCTAGTCTTGAATCCATCACTTGGGGCAACTCCCATCCTTTTTCTATACCCAGAACCAGTGGGTGAGCAAAGCAGTTAAGAGAATGGGCTCTGGAGCAAGGCTGCCTGGTTGGAATTCTAGCTGCATGTCTCTATAGTTAACCTCTCCCTGTCTAAGTTTCTCCATTTGTAAAGTGGGTGTAATAATAGTCCCTATCTCACAGAGTTGTTAAATTAGATCAGTTAACATAGTGCCTGATATAGAGGAAGTGCTGAGTAAATGTTCGTTTCTATTATTATTGTTATTGTTGAAGGAAATACAGTTCGCCTTGAGAGACCTCCAGATGACAGAGGTATGAACTTAACCTAGTGGAGGTAAAGGGAACCCAGGGCTCCTTTTCAGTCCCTAGTCCTGGGGTCTGACCTAGCAAATTACATCTGAGTGACTCAATCTTTCTGTGGAATGGGCAGGAATAACGCTTGCCTGTAGGAAGTTCCTAAAGCGTGGAAGAGCCAAAGAAGAAAGAGAACAGAAGTGAAAGAAGACCTAACAGGTGTTCCCCATCCGTTTGCATCCTCTGCCTAGATCCCTTTACACCTAGGCTCCCAGAGCCCTCATCCTGCTCCTAGGACCCCGGGACAGCCATAATATCCCTTCTTGCTCCTGGCTTGCTTCCATTCTCCCAGACCTCTATCTTAGAGAATCCAGGAGCCTCTGTGCTGAGGTCTGATTGATGGTCATTGTGTCATCCTTTTGGGAACATCTGTTTAACTGTCCCCCTTCCTGGACAGGCAGAGCTGCCGCAAGGAGTAGAGCCCTTGGTGGTTGGAATGTTGAGTCCCTTTCCGTTCTGTCCATTAGAGCCTGTCTGGGCAAGAGTCTGTGTTGGGCCCAGCCCTTGGAAGCACTCCAGCTGTGCTCATGCCCAGGCTCCCCCTGATTTATGCTGGATTTCCCTATATAAAATGGACAGAGGGAGATACTTCCATCAGTCTAGGCATGCTCATTTTTATCTGCTTTCTTTCCAAGATGAGATATTTAAACTTAGCACCTAAGTGCTAAAGAGGCTGTCAGAAATGTAAGGTGCACAGTCAAGACACTCTGGGATATAGCCTTACCCCTGAGATGTGCTTCACCTTACTACCACACTGCTGCCCTCTTCTCCTTCCTCGGCTTCTTTCCATGTTTCTCCAAGTGCTGTTTTAATTTTTTATACCTCTGGTGGAAAAGAAAATGGCAAGCCCACTGCACAGGTCCATTTCTTCTAGTCCTAATCCTGGGCAGAGCCACATATGTACCAGAGTTAAGTAGATTCAGGGAATAGGCAGCAGTAAGGCTCACTTACTAAGTCACCTAGCTATCTGTCTGCACCAAAATTCCTCAAGGTGTGACCCAAACAATACCTGTTATTACAGTTACCTTAGGGAGTGGGGGAGTTGTTAAAATGCATATTTCTGGGTACTTCCTCTGTCCTATAGAATCAGTGGCCTGAGATAAGTTGTAAACAAGCTTATCAGGCAATTCTTATGCTTACTGAAGTTGGAGAATCATGGCTGTAAAGGTTGGGTTTTATAATTTTTTTTATTTATTTTCCCCCAAAGCCCCAGTAGGTAGTTGTACATCATAGTTTCACATCCTTCTAGTTGCTGTATGTGGGACGCGGCCTCAGCATGGCCGGAGAAGCGGTGCGTCAGTGCGTGCCCGGGATCCGAACCTGGGCCGCCCGCAGTGGAGTGCGCGCACTTAACCGCTAAGCCACGGGGCCGGCCCTAAAGGTTGGGTTTTAGATGGAGGTGGCCTGGGTTAGGGCCTGCAGTCGGTGGAGGAGGGCTGAGCAACCTCATTGAGTGCAAGTCGGGAAGGTGCTTGGGGTTCAGCCCAAAACATCCCAGTTGAACATCTGAGTTTTCCTGAGTAGCATGTTCTTGAGACTGTGATGGAGATGGAGGAGGATGCTGGGCATCCACCAGCCATCCTGCCAGAAGGTAGAGAGCACTGAAATGATGACCCATCTCTCCCTGCCCTTAGCCCCAAATGATGGAATTAGTGAGATGGGTCTGACCAAAACATGTACCATTCTAACCTTAGCTTCATTCATTCAGCAAATATTTATTGAGCACCTCCTATGTGTCAGGCACTATTATTGGGGCTTGGGATACATTCACGAGCAAAGCAGGGATCCCTGCCCTTGGTGGATCTTACATGCCAGGGGTAAGAAATAGAAAATAGGGCCAACCCCGTGGCTTAGCGGTTAAGTGCGCGCGCTCCGCTACTGGCGGCCCGGGTTCGGAACCCCGGTTGCGCATTGACGCACTGCTTCTCCGGCCATGCTGAGGCCGCGTCCCACATACAGCAACTAGAAGGGTATGCAACTATGACATACAACTATCTACTGGGGCTTTGGGGGAAAAAAAAGGAAGAGGATTGGCAACAGATGTTAGCTCAGAACCAGTCTTCCTCAGGAACAACAGGAGGATTAGCACGGATGTTAGCTCAGGGCTGATCTTCCTCACACACACAAAAAAAGAAATAGAAAATAAACAACAGACGTAATAAATAAGTCAATTTTCTAGTATGTCAGAAGGTAATAAATGCAATGGAAAAAAGAAAAAGTAGAGCAGGGTAAAGGGGCTGGTTGGGGCAAGTGTCAGTATTAAATACGGTGGTTGGGTAGGCCCCCTGAGCAAAGAGCAGGAGTGCAGGGAGCTGGCCATGCCATTGTCTGGGGAAGTGCAGAGCAGTCCAGAGAAGAGACAGTACAAAGGCCCTGGAGCGGGAGCAGATCTGGTGTGCCCTTCAGTTTGGGGCTTACGGTCCTAAACATTTTCCTAGAAAACTTACTACCATGACCCTACTTCTTTTAGTGCTTAGGACCTAAAAGAATCTGACAGTAGCCTTAGAAGACATGTGCTAAGCTGCAGAATTAGAGAAGGTGAGCTCTGTAAGGAACCTTAGGCACATTCCATTCTTTTTAACAGAAATGCTGGAAAGTGAAGTGCCACGCTGAAGGTGTGGCAGAGATGGGACCAGACTAGGCCCTTCCTCCTCACTAGTATTAGATTTTTCTAGGCAGTTTTGTTTGCGATTAACCCTCCAGAAGGACAGGGTCAGGGCAGTGTGAGGGGTTGAAGTAGGCCAGTTCATGTGGAGGCTATAGAAATGGTGGGCACTGAGGATTTCTCATCTTCCCCAAGGTTTCCTGGCTACCTTTGGTTTTCCATCTGCCTACTCTCCCTGCCCGCCAGGAGCCAACACCAACCAGTATCTCCCCCTCTTTGCTACTAATGGTGGGAGGCTTAGAGAGCAGCTGTCAGGCAGAGTGATGGTTCTAGAAGACAATATACAGTTTATCAATATTGAATTTTGTAGCTTGCCTCTGCCGCCACCGTTGTAGGGAGCTGGCCAGGCTTGGCAATGTTATTTGATAATAGAATAATCATCATTTATATTGCAGCTCTGAGTGCCTCTGCTGCTGACAAGGGCTCGGTGCCTGGGTGTTGGAGAGAGAAAACAGGCTCTAGAAGGGAAAGTGAACCGGGTGGGAATCCATGGCCCTGGAAAGCTGGACATTGGCCTCTCTCACTGACCACTGAGAGGGGGGTAGTTTAGCAAAGATGCCCCCCAAGGATAAAAGCAGCCCTGAACTGCTTTCTTTGAAAAACGTGTCCTGTGAGAACATCTAGGTTACCTCTTGCTCTCTCTGGCTGGGTAGTTGACTCCACTTTGTCCCCTTTTATCAGGTGGTTCCTCAGCTAGAGGGGTAGTCAGCCGGTGGACAGTGGATCACACTCTGATGTGGCTCTGTCAGCTCCATGCCAAAGGGCTGTCCTGTCTGGAGCATGGGAGGGAAGGAGGAGATGAAGTCAGCCAGTGTGTTCATAGACTTCCAGAGCTCCAAAGGACCTCATCGTTCCCGGATATTTGGATGTAGATATCTTTGGCAAATCAAAATTGTATTTCAAATCTAGTCTCTCTTTAAAATAGTGTGGTGAGTTATCTTATGAAGAGTCATCTATCTTATGAACAGTCATCACTCTTGTGAAGTTGTGCGGGGTCTTTATCCTGGGAGGGTGGGTGTGAAGTGGCGCGGGTGCACGCAATAGGACCCAGAAAGCAAAAACAATTCAATAATGTTCTTCAGCCTTTGAAATGAGGTATACTCCATCTTTCTCCATTGTTCTTCAGCTCCCCAGAGGGCCACGCAAGCAAAGATGGGCTCACGCTGTGGCAGGAGGCTGGATGTTCAGAAACTCAGGGAGGCTGTGGGCCCTGACAGGTCTCTGAGGTTGGCTCTGGGATCTCCTCACACTAGTGAGTCATGTGTCCCTGCAGGTTGAAGACAGTCTGTCCTCTTGAGGACTCTGATGGAGGGGTTAAGTGACCTCAGGGGCTGCAGATGCCAAAGTGAGAAGAACAGGAAAAGGGGAAGTTGCTAGGAGGACAGTAGATGTACCCAGAGACATTTGGGGTTTCCTGACCAGAATGGGATTAAGGTAATGGAGTAGAAGCTTTGGGTTGATATCAGTGGTATTTAGTGGGGGGCAAGGGGCATCCTAGAAGAGAAGTCTGAATCCGGATATCAGGAACACTTAGGGAGATTTTGTAAAACACAGACTCTGCCCCTATCCCCACTCCCATAGGAAGACAGAATCGACTTTCCAGAGGCAGGTAGAGGCTGCAGGGTTCCAGAGGTGGGGGTGAAGGGAAAAGGCAGTGGTGGAAAAGACCAGGCCCAGGCCTTAGTCAACAGAGGGAAAGGGGGTCTCAGTGAAGCTCTTTAAGGGCATATGTAACTGATAAACCCCATGCTGGCTTTGTCCTGGAGTTTTAACAACAGAAAATAGAGAAATGGAGCTAGGCTAGAGGTCAGGAAATGTTGGTCCTAATGTCACTGCTGTCCTTCAGTGGCTCTGTGACCTTGGACAAATCACCTCACTTCTCTGAGTCTCAGTTGCTTCTACTGTAAAAGTAAGGAATTAGGCTCAGTGGTTGCTAGGGTCTCTTTCTAGCTCTGACAGTCTGGGACTGAGACTCTAAAGAGTGATATGGTTTCTCCACCATGAGGTGGTGCATTACCTTTGAAGGACCAGAGCCTGGTGCTGCCCTTTGTTTCTGGAATGTTGGGACTCAGCTGACCTGGGGCCAGCTAATCCATTTGGCAGCTTCCAGGCCAGAACCACCCCTGGTCACTTGACAGAGTTTTCCCTAAAGCAGCACACTGCTTCTGTGGGAATAAAATCAATTAAGTTAGAAAATTTAGAAATGAGGGTTCTGTGGCCCATTAAGTTTGAGTATCAGTGAGTGAGACATAGTCAACAGTTTCTTTTTTTACAGAATTTCTCAGAGCCTCTTATCACCCCAATATGCATTTTGAATCTCTTAAGAGGGGGAATATACAGTATTTCCCAAACTAATTGATTGTGGATCCATTTTTCTGAGGAGCATCTCATCAGATTAGTGTTTCATAGAGCACCCCCAGAATGAAGTTTCATCTCTCTTTCGTTAAGAACAACTCAAAGTTAGATGTCTCTTACTTACTTTTTCCCAAATTCTTGACCTTCGAGGAGGGTAGGAGTGACCACTTTTCGTACTTGAATCTCAAAGGCAGGCAATCTTGTCACGGTCTTCCTAGGGCAGCCTTGTAGGCAGTGCCAGCTATTTTGTGCCAATTGCTATTGAATTCCCATTGAGTTGACACACCTCCTGGGTCCCCATATCGATCCCCCATGTCTCCCTGCAGCAGATGCTCACAGAATGCCCCCTTCACCTTGACAGAGAGATGGAGAAGGGCAAGTCAACATGGGTCTCCTCTGAGCCCAGAGCCTTCCTTCTCTTAGTGACCTGGTCTGGGGGTTACTGTGGCTGGACTAAGGAGTAGCTGTTGACTCTCTGGTTTGTGGTTGGTTTTCTATAAGAGACAGGAAAAAAGCTGCCAGAGTCCCCAGCCTAGGAGTATATACTTCTCCAGGGTGGGTCAGGCCGGAAGGGGAGCTTGGGGACGAGGAATTGGCCGTCTTATTTGGGCAGGAAAGGCTGTGTCGTACTCATTTGGACTTTGACAATTCTTACACCCCATTTCCCATGCCCCAGTCTTGTCACTCTGCCCTCTTTCTCCTTCATCCTTCTGGGTTCTTCCCATCTCCCCCCAGTTCTCCTAAGCAGACAGGCTCTCCTTCCTCCTCCCCCATCCCAATCTCCCAATCTCTTCTTCACACACCCTCTGCCCCCCCAGCCTGGCAGCCTGCCCTGTAGGAATGTTAATTAGCATTCACGATTTAATTAATTCAGTAGCTAATTAATGATTGGGGACTGGGGGTGGGGATCTGGGGTGCAAGGGAGTTGGGGGCTGGAGGTGGCAGGGAGATGTAGCGGAGGCTGCAGAAGGCATTGCAGATGGCTGTGCAGTGGCTGGCACGGTGCCCACCGCCATGGATGCAAACACTCACGCGCACGCACACGTACACACACACAAAAAAAGGAAAGAGTGATCGAGGAATAAAATCAAAAGCAGGGAGAGAAGGGCACAGGGGCCCTGGGAACTGGGGGTGGGGAAGGCTCTAGATCTGTTTGAATCTGCTCCGGAAGTGGAAGAGGAGAAAAAAAAGAAACCACCACAGGCGCAGAAAGAAGAGAGCTCTCCCGATACCCCACCCCACCCCCACCCCACCCCAGCCACCCCTCCTCCCTGGCATGGGATTCATGGGCACCAGCTGAGGACAGGGTCCCCTCCTTCTGCCTGCCATAAATATTGGCACGGAGGACCCAGACTCAGAAGGACAGGACATTCCCAAAGAAAATAGTTTTTCTTTTAAGTTGCTTTTTAAAATATATATGTATATATTTTTTTAAAACATTGCACCCGTTTTGGTGTGAGGGCGAAGGCGAGTGAAAGAAGGTGACCGAGCCAGGAGGAAAGAGCACAGATGGCTTGGTGGTGGTATGGTGTGGTGAGTTGTGGGGAGGAGGAGAGGGGTCTGGCAGAGGTTGGGGGTGGGCGGAATGAGGACCCTGTTTTCCTCTTTTCCTTTTGCTGTGGATGAAGGAGAGAGAGTGAAAGAGAGAAAGGGGGTGGGGAGAGAAGCGAGACAGATGGCAGAGGGGAGAGGCGGCAGCCAGTGCCGGCATTGCCCAGCCTGGGCGGACCCTGCTCTCCCCGCCTGCCAGCTTTCCAAATGCCACCCTTCCCCCATCCTCCCCTCTCCCCATCCCCCCAGCTTGGCACTGATCTCGGAGAGAGAGGGAGGGAGGCTGGGCAAAGAGCATCTGTTCCCTCCATTCTCCCAGCTCCATCGGCTGCCAACCTAGGGCCATCGTCTGCCTCCATCACCCCTCCGCCCGCCTGCCCGCCCGCCTACCCACCCAATCCCAAATGGGTGCTGGATCAGGTGCCGAATCTGGCTGCCTCCTCGGGTATACCAGTCACTATGCATTGCTGTGTGTCTGCCACCGCTGCCTGGCACTCATGGGGCCGTGTGTGTGTGTATGTGTGTGTGCGCGCATGTACACGTACGCATAAGTGTGTGCTGTAAGTGAGCCTCCTGGGCATGGGTGGGGGTTGGCACTGCGGTTGCCAATCTGGTGTCCAACCAGAAGGACAGAGGGATGGAGTGGAAGAAGGAAGGGAGAGGTTTAGGGCCTGGGAGGGCAGAAGAGGGTGCATGAATTGCTCCACGCTGCCTGCTTACAGGCTTTGGCACTGCAGCTGCCACCCTCGTGCCCGCGGAGGTGGGAGGAGGCGAATGGGGAGAGGGCAGCGGCAGGAGTCCTGGTGCTCTGGGAGGAAGGCTCGGTACCCGGGAGCCCTTGGCATCACATCGTCAGGCTGGTGCCCTGAGCTGGGGCAGTGGGAACAGGGGTCCCAGCAGGCAGAGAGGAGGGGCAGGGATGTGTTGCTGATGTTGTGGTCCCTCTAGAGCGCAGCTCTGAGAACCAGTTGGACTACAAGGTAGGTAGTCCTCTTCTAGTCAGGGAAAGTAAAGTGGTGGAAAGAGTAGCCAGGGATGGGCCAAGCAAGTGCCCAAGAGCCAGGAGGAGGAGTCCTGCCACTGCTCCCCAGGAGAGCTGGTGGGCTGGTGGTCTGGCCCTTTGTCAGAGCACCGAAGGAGAGGAAGGGGTCCGGGTGTGAGGCGTGTGGTGCTGGCACTGCCCAAGGAGCCTGGCACAGGCTCTGCATTGTGTGGAATGGGGGAGGGTGGCAGTGCCTCTTGCCAATTTGGTTGAGAGGGTTGTTGTGCCAGGAGAAGGGAGGAGGCGAGATGTTGGGGGGGGGGTTGTATCTGTGAGTTGTTTGGGAGGACAGACTTTTTTCTGCCAGGACCTCCTACCCGTTCCCTCTTAGGCATGGGAGTGGAGTGACAGATGGAGAAAGGCATGAGGACACAAAGGAGGGAGTGCGCCATTGCCAAGACCCCAAGGAAGAAGGATGGAGAGTGCTGGCAGTCCTGCCTGGCCTCCAGCCAGTTTCCTGCTGAAGATGGCCAAGTCCTCTTGCCTGGTCTGTATATGTCACAATGCGGGCGTGGTAGGGGAGGGAAGGGCTTGATTGCTGAGCTGGGATCTAGAATGGGAAGGGCACCTTTCTGGGAACCTCATTTGGACTCTCCACTCTAACAAGTGAGGTGTCTGATTTTCTCCCTGGTGCCTTTCTCTCCTCCCGCTTCCTCCACTCCACCCCTCTTTCATCTCTCTATCACCACCTGGGTCTACTGCTTGGCACCCAACCAACTAGATGCCGCCATGCTTGGCAGTGCTGCACTGGCACGTGAACAGTGTCTCAGATCCTGGCACGGCAGCAAACGCAAAGCCGCCAAACATGCTCACGACCGCCACTTGGTGGCAGAGAGAGAGAGAGGCGGGCAGCGCATATAAGCGTGCCAGGCACTGGGCGGAGCTCCATACTGGGAGTGGCATGAGAGGATGGCCTCAACAGCTGGGCTCTATCAGTGCTCTCCAGCCAACCCCACCTGCGCCTTCCTCCCAACTAGATACCTACCTCCCTTCCACCCTCACTGCCCCCAAGAAAGGGATTTAGATGGTACCACACTCAGTGTTTGAGCAGCTATTCCAAGGGAAGCTGGAGCACAGAGGGACAAGAGCACAGGTGAGAGTCACACCCAAGGCTCCAGGCCAGTGGACTAGACACCTCTCTGTGCAGCAAGGACAGAGAAAATTCTAGGAGGGTGAAAAGAGAGCCTGGAGAGAGAACAGCCAGTTGTGTTGTCACAAAGATGGTGGCAGAAGAGATTGGAAGGGAAGAAGCAGGAAGGAGAGACCCTCAGGCCTCGTTGTTGGGTGGTGGGGGTCGTTTGTGCCTGTATGTATTTCGTTCTGCCCCGTGCCTTGTGATTGGCTGAGCTGTGGTTGAGATGAACCAGTTCTTTCTCCCTTGTTAAAAGGCCCATGTTCAATAACAGTCCTATAAAGATGGAGAGGTGCTCTAGGCCTAGAGAGGTAGGCAGGTGTTAGGGAGACAAAGGCACCTGGGACTTGTCCTTCCAGAAAGACTATTCAAAGAGATTTTGTGTTTGGGAATTTCTTAATGGCATCCCAATTAGAGCTGGATAAATTAACATATCTTTGAAATCCATCCCCAGAAGGGAGACCACGGATCAGCGATGAGCCTTGGTAGAGAGGAAGGCCCCTAGGAGGAGAGTCCCCAGCATCTGTAGTGACACAGATCAGCCCTGTGCTTCCAGAGGCAGTGCCAGTGGCAGTCCCACAAAACTGGATCTTGGGCCTCCATTTGGAAGAAATTCTAGCAGGTTGGGCTTTCCTTGCTTCCTAGGTAGCCAGAGGCTGAGGGTCAGTGACTAGAAAGATCTTTGGGTAAAAGATTTGGCTCTGGGTGATGTCAGGGGAGGCTGGGTGGCTTTGAATGGGGATAGGACCTGCCCAGGGGGAAGCAAAGCCGTTGCTGTGCTGGGCTGAGCTGCTTGGGGCTGGGGCAGTTCTGATTTCAGCATCTCTGGAAGTGGATGGCAGCTTCAGAAGAGTGAGGGTGGTTTCCACAGCAGAGGAGAAAGCAGGGAGGCACTCAGCCAAAGGGTGAGTGGACAATGTTTATGTCTTTTCTCCTATTCAAGAACAGCCAGCATAAGCAGAAGACAGATTTCCAGAGTGTTGGAGGTGGGGGTGATGTTAGGGTAATGAAGAAGACAAATCTGAGGTGATGCTAGGCCCCTGTGTGGTAGACCCTGGTGTAGCAGGGTTGGGCGCTGGGTGCTGGAGAGTTGGGGCAGGTTACAGATGTATATGGGCTGAGCAGTCTAGATCAGTGGTTCTCAGACTCCAGAGAGCAGAGAATCACTTGAGGGGTTTCTGATTCAGTTGGTCTGAAGTGTGGTCCAGGAACATGCATTTTAAATAAGCACTCAGGTGACCATGATACAGGTGGACAAAACTTTGAGAAACACTGTTCTAAGAGATGGCAGTCACCCTGTGGGACAGTTGATCTAGTGTGGATTTCCCATGCCTTTTGCATCTTTCTTCTTCCTTCCCAACCATACTCATGTCTTTATTCTGCCATGCACGTGATCTGTGTGTGTGTGTGTTCTGGGTGGGGGCAGCAGGAGGAAAAGGAGAGGTTGTGAGGTCCAGTCAGGCAGATTTAACTTGTTAGAACAATGCTTCTCATTGGCAGTAGTTATCACAGAAGAATCCCTTAGGGAACACTTTCAAAATTCACTCTTCCTTTCACCCCTGGATTCTGATGGTTGGCTGCCCTATGTTTCTGAAAACTCACCACTGAGAACCACTGGATTAAGAGCATTGCCAGGAGATTGCTGTCTGTGGTTGGGTCAGATTTATGTAGATTCTGTGGCTCAGTACAGGATGAGTCCCAGTGACACTTCTTCCAGGAGGCAGGTCTGGGTCCCGGCTAGAGGAAGTAGGGGTCAGCAGAGTACACGGCCTAGCCTACAGCTGACACTTAGCAAGTTGCAAATGATGCTGTTGTTTGAGCACTTGAGGGGGCTATCCAGGAGTGAGCACAGCCTAGGCCATTCTTCAAGTGCAGCTGAGAAGACATGGCGCACGGTTGGATATCAAGGAAGGACTGTAGATGTCGGGCAGTGCTGTGCTCCTGCTGGTTACTTGTTTTGGTGTTTCAGCCACTGTTTGTGTAAGTGTGTGTGTACAGCTGCTTAGGATTATAAGTCAATCCTGGCTCACCTTTCCCCATCACCATTTTTCTGGTCCACCGATAATCAACCTGCTTCCCTGCTAGCTTCTAGCCAGACAACTCTCCATGCTAGAGAGCTGCAAGAAACACCAGGCTCAGACTGCTGACAGAGAATAATGCCATTTACCCTTTGTCTGTCCTCTGTGTGAAGGCTGTCCAGGTCCTCTATGTGAAGGAGAACGGCGTGGGTCCTCACCCAGTTTTATGTTCTTCCCATAAAGTGTAGTCTCTCCCTGAGAGGCTTTCCCTGGGGATCACTTCCCATCTTTCCCCAGAGGTGACAAGCCATGGTCTAGATCTTTCTACAGAGGTCCTCTCTCTTGCTTCTCTTTCCTCTGACCTTTCACAAGTATCCGAGCTGTAATCCTATAGATCCTGAGGCTGGGTCTATAGCTTTTCTTGTAGCAAGAGCTTCCTTGGTATTGGGGCATTTCTTCCTTACTCAGTCCTCTAGAGTCCTTACTCATGTCATCCTCATGGCTTACAAGTTTCTCACTACAGTCACGTGTCACTTAACAACAGGGATACGTTCTGAGAAATGTGTCACTGGGTGATTCCGTCATTGTGTGTACATCACAGAGTGTACTTGCACAAACCTAGGTGGTGTAGCCTACTACACACCTAGGCTATATGGTACTAATCTTATGGGACTACTGTTGTATATGTGGTCGGTTGTTGACTGAAACTTTGTTATGTAGCACATGACTGTAGTTGCTACCGACTGGTGGTTCGAGCCTCCCACCGCAGCCTAGAGAGAAATGCTCCCCAGTACCTGGCCCTTCCTATAACACAGGGTCCCAGCCCAGTTTACCCCTATGTTTCCTATGAGTTTTCCCCCAAATTCCTCCTGTTTTCTCTTCCTCTCTCCCCTCCCTAGTGTCACACTCCAGAGGAATTTAAGGTCCTTTCCCCATGGATTAATGTTCAACATTTGGTCCCCCTTCCTGACACTGGATACATTTCCCCTGACTATATCTGTTTATTATAAGCTTTTCCTACCTACAGTTGTGTAAAAAAAAATTAGTATGTATTGGAGGGTGTTTCTGCTTATGGGTGTAGGTGATGGGTCTGGGAGCATGTCCCTTGTGCCTTTATGTCCATGGGCCCATCCTTGCTGGCAGTTGGTGTGTCCCTGTAGTTCTCTCTGCATGGTTCTGCTGCTGTTTCTGATGGTGTGCTTGCTTATTTCGTTGGTGCAGTTATATACACAGAGCTCTGTAGTTCAGATGTGAATATTTATACAGGAATGAATAATTGGATGAGCAAATGTGTCTTAAAACAGATCTGGGTAGGCTGTTGGAGATTTGGGGAATCAGCAATCTGGTCTATAAGCCTTGAAAGTGGTTAAGGAACAAATAGAAGGAATTAAGCAGGTGGGTGCTACTGTGCCTGGAATAATTGGCTTTCTTGGTTCTTGTGCATGCTTCTATAAGTACACTCCAGGGGCTAGAGGATTGGGGGAACAGGTTTCTTTTTGTGGTCCTATTGTAGACTTTGCCCCATTTGGCCACTAAAGCTTCAGATTTTCTCATATTCTCCTACCAGACTTTGATTTTTGTTCCTAGTTGAGAACTGGGTACCTTAAGCCATCCTCACACAGATGCTAGTTTACAGCAAAAACAGCCAAGCTCATTTCTGCCTTCTGCCTCCTGGTACTGACCCTGGCAGTGAGTAGGTGGACCAGAATTTGGATGCTTTAGGACCCATGTATGTCTGAAACTCTAGGCCTTTGCCCCAAGCCATGGAAGACCCATCTTAAGAGCCACTCATTCAGGCTCACTTTAGGGTTGTCGGGGAGCAGGGGGTGTACTACAAGATAGGTGTTGATGTACCAGGCGCTTGAGTTGGGTCTACTACTCCCCAGGAGAAGTGATGTGAAGTACCCCAGGTGCCCTGGTGTTCACCTCTAGCGTTTGGCGTAGGTCCATGCTGACTCAGCCCTCTGTCCACCAGAATGGTGCATTGTGCATCTCTGGAGTGGGAGTGCTGCTGCTGAGGACTTCCGGTCTGAGAAAGGGGTTGGGGAGGAATGCTTCCAGCCACTGGGGCTATGGAATGGTGCACCCTCCAGAAGCACACTGATTGACCTAAGTCAGCAGAGGCAGCCAGGCTCTCTTGTCCCCTATATTACAGGGTTCCTGGTAAGGTCAGTTGCTTAGAGTCAGCTCCTGTCTACTACTGTGAATATACATGGTGTCTCCAGGCCAGAGTATATGGGTGTAAGAATATGTTGGAGGGCAAGAGGAGGCAGTATTTCTGGCTGTATTAACTCCCAATGAAAGTATTCATAGTTCAAGCCAAAGCAAACCTACCCTGGCTGTAAATGCCTAAAATGCATGACACCACACCTCTAATCATCCCATTCCCGGTGTTTGCCAAGGTTTTCTTTAAAACGTTTCCTCTTTTTCTCCTATTTTTTTTTCTTTTTTTGTGTTTTCAACTTTTATATACAAGTCACATTCCCGGAGCACAGAGTGAAAAAGCTTCTTTCCTCATACACATGCTGCTAAGAAAATAGCTTTATACACAGAATTTCAACAGGAGAGAGAAAGGGACAGGGAGGGCAGGGTGCAAGAGAGATGTTGAGAGGCGGGGAGAGGTGGCAGCAAGAGTGAGCCTGCAGTAGGGCAGTTTCTCTCCTCTTGTCTGCATCTGTAACTGGTATTTTTGGCATCATCAGAATAACTAATTCCACCCCACCCCAGTTTGCTAAAGTTGGAGCTTTTTAGAAATGAATGGGACTGGAAGCAAGATTCACAAAACATATGGGGACGGGGGGCTAAGCTGAGTTTTCCCTCCCCCTCTCTCCCAACCCATCTTTTCTGCACATGAGCTACTGCTTCGGTAGGAACATGTTCACAGAGTGGAGTGACACATAGACCAGGAAATCTAAATCCCAGGGCTGGCTGAATTTGTGTGTGTGTATGAAATGGATAATGGTGGTAGAAGAAGCCTGAAGGGAGAAAGACCTTGAAAGGAGAGGTCTTAGGGGCAAGGGTAGTAGGAGAAACCCTCTGGAGGGCTGGGAAATTTTTGCAGGCTTTTCTTTGCTGAAATAAAACACCTACTTCTCCACCCTGTGCCACTTAGCTGGGCTTGGGGGTTGCCACAGTGACCTGTTACAGAAACAATTAGGTTAGCGTAGGAAACCCTCTTCTAGCTCATTCCTCTTCTCTTGGTTCCTTGGTGATGTCACACTACAAAGATTTACCTTATGCTTCAGTCATCTCCTTGCCTACCCATCCCCTCAGTCGTCATCAGCTCTAGACCCCCATGAACCTCATGGACAGGTCCTGACTCCTTTGGGGGTGCCCCCAGCAGCTGCTGCTTACTGGAGGAGCTGGGCTGGGGCAGAGGATGCAGGGAAGAACAAGATGGGAACAAGGGTCCCTGCAAAGGCGAAGAGGTTCCAGAAGTGACCGGAAACGTGAAGGGGCCACTAGGAAGGGAAGCAGGAATAGGGTTGTGAAAGGAGTACATGAGAGGACATGGTGGTTAGCTACCAAAAGGGAAGTGTACCCAAGATTCAGAAACCAAATGCCCCGTCCACCCCTTTCCTCCTGGGACCGCCAAGATACTTTTGGTGACAGTGACTTTTCTAACTCACAGCTGGGAATGAGGGGATGTTACCTGTCCTGATAAATACTCAATTCAGGGGGCAAGGATGTGTCTCTCCCCAGTCTCCAGGCTCTTCTCCCCATTCCTGCCTCTGAGGCTGGACACGGCCAAGGCAGGGCTGCTCTGCTTTCAGTCTTGAGGGTCACCGCACCCATGCAAGGACTTAAAGCCACTTGATCTTCCAAAGACGAGGTGGTTTAAAGAAACCCTTAAATTGGGGGGGAAAGTGACAGAAACAGGAAAAAAAACCACTTGTTTGCTGGGCGAGTTTTCAGGTTTTTTTTTTTTTTTCTGTATTTCCGAAGTTTATGCTTTTTTTTCTTTAGTTCATTCCTCTGGTCTCTCCATCTTTCTCTCCTGTGCACTGTGCGCGCGTGCTCTCTCTTGCTCTCGTTTTTTTGGTTGTGTGTGTGTTTCAGTTTTTTTTTAAAGAACTTTGGATTTGCCATTGGTGGGCAGCGCTGGTCCCGGAGGCTGGACCCCCACGTGGCAGGGCTGGGACAAGGGGTGGGCCCACGGCTGCTGAGAGGATCTCTGTGTTTAAAGCCTTTGAGAATAAGTTACTGCAGTTCCCAGGGTGCAGGGTGGGGGTTGGCAGAGGGGTTCCTGGCGGCGGCTTCCCCTAGAGTCCAGGCCGCAGGGGCTCCCCTGTCAGGCGAGGAGAGGGTTAGAAGGGAGGAGTGTGGGGAGAGAGAGCTGGGAGCCCTTCTCCCCTGCGAACCTCCAGTTTGGTTAGAGTCTTGTGGGCTCCCTGCCCCTCCCAGGCTCCAACCTTGGGAGCCAACTGGGTATTTGGAAAGAGTTTGTGAGCGGTATGGCGCTCTAGACAAGGAGGGTAGGAAGGAGAAGAGGGAGTGGCAGAGTTTCTTTTCCTTCCCCCTTCTTTGTCTTGGGTTTTCTTTTTCCTTTCTTCTTTTTTCTTTTTTTGGTGTTTTCTCAGTGAGTGGAACAGCATGGTATAACATGTATTTGCATGTGTGTTTATAGGAGTTGGGGGGCTGACTGGGAATTCAGTGGGGAGAAGGTTGTAGGAAGGTGGAGCCAAGAATAGATTATGTGTATGGTGGGCAGGGCAGACATGAATGAATAATCAGGATGACAAGATGGGTGTGTCTGTGAAGACTAGGGGCAAGGAGTTACAGAGGAGGATCAGCGTGTTTGTGGGATTGGGGAGGAGGCAGGACTCTGCTGGAGTTGGGGTGTGTGAAGCCCACTGAGAGTGGGAATTGAAAGATTCCCGTGAGGTGGGCGGAGCCGAGGGTTGGGGTGAGGGATTTGAGCTTCTACCAAACACCCCTTGGGGTCAGAGAGGGAGCTCTGAGGCCCTCCCCTCTCCCCCCATCTTGGTTTATCTGTTTATAAAGCTAGAAGTGTAGAGGTAGTAGTAGTTTTTGGGTTGGAGTCCGTGTGAGGTAATCTTGCTTCCTCTTTGGCAAAAGCCACAGCAGCCGTGGCGGCAGTGGCGGCGTTGGTGACAGTGATGGGTGGGCCCCCTGGGGGCGGGGCCGCCTTACGCCTGTGGGCTGAGGAGCGCAGGTGGGAGGCCAGGGCTTCACGCCCACTCAGCAGCACCTCACATGCCAGGCAGTGGTAGGTACAGATGGGCACCCGCAGTGGGGGGGGCACGGAACCCCCAGAGCCCCGCCCAAAGAAGCAGAAGGATCTCTGGTGAGCAGTGGCCAGGGCCTCCCCGTCAAATGCCATCTTGCACTGGCGGCACAGGTAGCGGTGGGTCACATCCACGGTGGAGATGCCAGTGCTGCCTGTCAGCAGCTCATCGGCCTCCCCGGCCTCCCCCTCCCCTGGACCGGGCAGTTCAGGAGGCTTTGGAGGCGCTGTGGCTGTGGGTTCAGGGGGCTGGGGTGGTGGCTGGAGGAGGGCATTGGGGAGCAGTCCGATGAGGGTCTGAGGTATCACAGGGTTCATGGGAAATAGCCCCTTCTTCATGCCATAGAGCTGTTGGAAGTAGGACCCCTGTAACTGGGGGCCAAAGACAGTTGGCGGTGTGGCCCCTCCTGCAGGGGGAAATGGGAAGGGCAGGAATTGGCCCCCCAACAGGGCTGGGACAGTGGCCTTCAATGCTTTGAGGTTCTTGAGGGCATCAGTGGAGGAGTTGGTGGGGGCTGCAACTGGCTTTCGCTCACCAGAGACCTTGTCCCCAGAGGGCTCAGTAGGCAGGCCTGGGGCAGGGTCAGTGGTGCCTGCTGTGGAGGGGTTGGTTTCGTCGGGCACAGGTCTCTGAGGTAAGGGGCAGCCTGGGCCAGGAGTCTGGACCACTGTGGTAGCAGGCAGGACTGAAGTGGCAAGGCCAAGGAGGCCTGAGGAGGCTGCAGGGCCTAGGAAGATGAAAGGAGTGGTGAGGGATTAGCTACCTCCTGGCCCCATCATCCTTCTTACTGTAGGCAACCTCCAGCCACACACTCACCCATTCCCACCACCTAGCCTCCATGCTCCCTTCCCTCCCTTCTCTCCCTCAAGAGACTGAAACAAAGGAAGGCCACAGGAGGAGACTGGAGATGGGAAGAATCAAGAAGGAAAAAGAAGGGCATGTCATTAGAGGGAGATGCTCTCTCAAGTTCAACTTCTCCCAACCTCCCACTCACCTGAATTGAAAGGAGCCAAGCTGCCCAGCGGGGGCTGGGCCAGAGCTGGGCTGGACAAGAGGACCGGGGCCAGGCGAGGCAGGGCCGGGGCAGCCCCAAGGGGCATAGAGGCAGGTGTGGTGGCAGGTGGGGCCTTGGGAGCCGGGGGGGCCTCGGGTGCCGGGGCCAAGTCGTAGCACTTGCTTTCACTCTTCAGCTGGGCTCTGACCGCCTCCTTGAGCTTGGCCAGGTGCTGGCGGGAAAAGAGATGGCCTCGGCAGGAGACATAGAAATCATACTTGACATCACAGTAGGGGCAGTCGGTGCGCTGAGCTCCCAAGGACCCCTCACTGCTGCCCCCAGCCCCACCAACCGCTGCCCCCTGCAGTTTGGCCTTCTTTTCCTTGGCACGAGCATTCTGGAACCAGACCTGGATGACTCTCTTAGGCAACCCAATCTCCTCCCCCAGCACCTCACACTCTTGCATGGTGGGGGTGCGGTACGCTTCATAACAGGCTTTCATGATCTTCAACTGCAGGCTGCTCATCTGGGTCCTGTAGCGCCGCTGCCCCATTCCATCTGGAACCCCGGCCCCACCTCCTGGTCCCCCACTGGTCCCTCCAGCCCCAGGGGACTCTGGTTCAGCCAGGCTGGAAGCAGACGAATCGCTTAGATCCCCTGCAGATGGACTGCAAGCCTCACTCTCTGGAGAAGCTTTAGATGGTTCCTCTGGGCCCTCGTCCTCACTGGGTGGAGGGGGAGGTGGGAGAGGTAGAGGTGGCTCTGGTGTTGGGGTGGTGGCCTCTTTCCCAGGTGGCAGGAAAGGCAGGGGCCCGGCAGCAGGGGTGACCGTGGGATAGGGAAAAGCAGGTGCTTCCCTCTTTGGGGCTTCCCTTCCAGTCCCATCATCCACCTTGCCCAACAAGAGGCTGAACTTGGGGAAGGGTGCAGGGGTAGAGGTGACAGGGGGCTTGACTGCCGGATTGGGCACTCCCCCAGGGGTGCTTCGAAATTGGCCTTTCCTCTCCCGGGCCCTGGTATTCTGGAACCAGACCTGTACTACTCGCTTTTTGAGCCCCACCTCCTCGGAGATGCAGTCGAGCATCTTGCGCGTCGGGTTGGAGTCCTGCATGTACCAACGGTACAGGATCTCCAGCTGCTCAGGCAGGATAGTGGTGCGCAGGCGCTTGTCCCTGGGGGGTTCACCCTCCCCTCCACCCCCTGCTTCACTGCCCGTGGGGGACAGGCTGCCGTCCTCGTGCTTCCGTTTGAGGGGTGGCCCTGGCACTGGTGGAGTGCCTGCCATCGTGGGGTTTCGCTCCCCAAACACCAGCAAGGGCAGATCTAGGAGGTGGGAGGCAGGGCTGGGCTGCGCAGATGGCAGGAAATGTAGCCGGCGGTGACTGGTTAGGAGGTCCTGGCTGGGGAAAGACATGGGGCACTGGTCACAGGTGTGGACTGGAGAAGGCGAGGGAGGGGCCCTCCCTTCAGGCTCTTTGCCTCCTGGCTTTGTCGCCTCTGCTTGGCTCAGCTCTTCCTGGTTTGGAGGTTCTGGTGATGGGCCCTCAAGTGCTGCTCGGGGTTCCAGGCCCTGTTCCTCCTCTGCATCTTCCTCCTCCCCCTCTTCCTCCTCTTCCCCCCTCTCTGCCTCTTCCTCCTCCTCCTCAGGAGGCTGGTCATCATAGCATTTCTTGAGGTGCCGCACCAACTCAAAAACACAGGAGAAGGTGGCATAGCAGCGCCTGCAGCTGGAGGCTCCCCCAGTGCCGCCTCCGGTTGGCACAGGCCCACCCTCGATGGCATTTTTGCGTGCTTTCTGGCGGGCATTCTGGAACCACACTACCACCACACGGCTCGCCAGGCCTAAGAGACTTGCGAGCCGCTCCACCTCTCCATCCTTGGGGTAGGCACTGGTCTCAAAGAAAGACTGCAGGGCTTGGGTTTGGAACTCTGTGAACTTGGTTCTGGAGAACCGGCGGCCTGCAGGCACTAGGGGAGGAAGATTCCCTCTGGAGCTTTCTTCCTCCTCAGGGGGCCAGCGTCCTCCTGCCCGGCTTCGCTCCTCAGGGGGATGGCCCCCTGCTGCCTCAGGCTCTGGGACCAGGCAGGTGGGGCCCAGTTGGGGAGCAGGTGAATCCAGAGACCCATCAGGCGGTTTAGGGGGCTCTGCAGGGGGTGGGTATAGGCTGTCATAGCTCTTTCGAAACTGAGCAGCATAACGGCTCAGGGCTTCAAAGGGCAGAAAGCGGCGGTGGACATGCTCCTCGTGTGTCTTGAGGATAAGCATATTGGAGAAGAGTTTCCCACAGGCCCTGCAGGCCAGCTTGTCCCCACCCCCCAGGGCCTCTGGTGGGGGCGGGGTTGGGGGAGGGGGCACAGCCTGCTTCCCTTCATTGTACTGGATCACCAGCTCAAACCCGAAGTTTTCTAGAAGGGCTTTGGCTGCAGTGCGGGCTGCTTCATTGGGCGTTGGGTTGGGAGGTGAGGTGGGCACTGCCTCATTCCCCTCTTCGGCCACAGGAGGCCGCTCCCACTCTCGCTCAGCCAGCTCGGCCTTAGGGGGTGGGGGAAGGGGAGGAGGGGTGGCAGCTGGCAGGGACAGCAGGGGTGCAGGCCCAGCCAGTGCCAGCTTGGGCCCCACCTTGAGGTCATGGAGGTAGAAGGGCAGGAGAAGCTGCTGCTGCTGGAGCTTAAGCAGTGATTCGGGCACCAGAGGGAAGGGGGGCAGGACCGGTGGGGTGAAGAGGGGCGCTGGGAATCGATGCAGGTCCAAAGGAGGCGGGGGAGGGGACAGGAAGGGCAATCCAGATATGAAGCCACCGGGGTCGGGGCCCTTCTTCTCATTGCCCAGCTCCCCCTCAGTCTCGCCTTCCTTGGGCTCTTCTTGGCCGCGCTCTGGCCCCTCAGCCTTGGCGTCAGTCTTGGCCCCCCGAGAGCGAGTCTGGTGCAGAACCGAGCGCATGTGGATCTCCAGAGTGGAGCTCTGGTTGTAGGAGACTCGGCAGACTGTGCACTTAAAGGGCTTGTCTGTGGCAGAAGAGGTGGTAGGCGTGGTGCCAGCCTCTCCCCGGGCAGGGCCAGAGGGGTCAATGGCAGCCTTCTTCATCTTGTGCAGGTGGGAGACAGAGTTATAATGAACCAGGAGGATATTCTTCTGCGTGAAGGACTCCTTACACACTGTGCACTTATAGGGCCGGGCAGGGTCGAGAAACTTGTCCAGGGCAAAGTTGGTGGTCTTCCGATAGGTCAGAGGGTGGCGAGAGTCAACTGGAGCTGGCTCTGCAGGGCGGGGCTCCCCGACAGTTCCCTCTTCCTCCTCAGCCACGGTGGGCGGAGGAGCCATTTCTTCAGCTTGGGCATCAGGCCAAGGGGCTGGAGATGGGGCTGGAGAAGGGGGTTGGTCAGGGCTTCCCTGGGGGTTGTCTGGCACCTCGGCTGAGGGCTGGGGAGGCTCAGGAAGAGGATCGGGACTGGCTTCTGGGGTCAGGTGAGGGCCTTCTAGGGGAGAGAGAAGGGTGCAGTGAGAAGGAAACTTTGCCTAAGGCAGACACCCCCCCCTCACCCCAACTCAATGTCTAGGGCAATGACCCTTGCCTCAGTGTCTTCAGACCTTCTTGGTCCACAGAGCCTGGATCCCCTTTCCTGCCACCTTGTGAGGTTTGCCATCCCTTTCCTTACCTGCTGCCTGGTCTCTGCTGGGTGCAGGCTCTGGCTTGGGAGCGGGGGGCTCTGGGTCATCCACCAGAGGGCCTAGAGTGGGCCCAGGCAGCACTTTGGTCGTAAAGGTCATCTCTATAGTTGTGGCCTGTAGTGGAAGAAATCCCAGTGACTTCCTCACTGCCGCCCCCCGCTGCTCTTGACGCCCCCCCTGCTCTGCACCTGTGCCCAGCCCCTTCCCAGGGCTCCAGCCTCCTCTCTGGACAAACCTCCCACCTAACTTCTGCTTCTCCTACAGAGGAGAGGGCCTGGGCGGCCACGTCTCCTGCCTGGCAGCCTAGGTTTTGCTGTTGAACAGCTCTTCCCAGGACTGAATGGAGGTGAAAGAAATGCTTAACTTCTTCACTGGCAAGGAGAGGCAGCTAGACAAGCTCAGTTCTGAGGTTCCCTCCATCTCTAAAATCCACCTTGAAATCTGTGAAATGCTGTTCCTTCACCAACACCTCCCCCCAACACACACACTTGCCTGGAACCCCCCACCTCTTCCTCCCCTCCTGCCCGGCCCTGACAGGGCTCCCCAGATGGGTCTTCACCCAGCCTGTACTCACCACAAGCAGCAGCTTCTCAACGCACTCGGGCACCACGTTGTGCAGGTGGCTAAGGTGGAAGTGCAGGGCAGGCCGGCCCACCAGCTGCTCCTGGCACAGTGGGCACCTGTACTTGGGCTGCACTGCATGCTGGGAGAGTGCATGAGCCCTCACCTGGTCGGACTCTGGGCTCAGGAAGCTGCAGTATGGACAGCAGAATACCTGGGGGCACATGGGCAGTGCAGGAGGTATCAGGGAAGGGTGGGACCCACCATCACTCAGCCCTTTGCATTCCTGGACACAGCACAATCCCCTACTCGCAATTTAGGAGTGAGCCTGATAGGAAGGCATCACCACGGACCCAGCCAGAGTCCTGAAAGCTGCCTCCTCCCTTCTTTCCCTCTGAGTGGGACAAAGGCCTAGGCTAGGCCGCCACCCTGCCTTCCTTCTTTGTCCGGCTCTCTCCTTTCATCCTGGCCTCTGTCTTTCCTTGGTCTGTCTGTCTCTGCTGCCTACTCACTTCTCCAGCTGACAGTATGGCCCTGTACCTACCTCCCTGGATTTAGTTTTCTTACCCACCCCCACCCTGCCTATCTCTTCTCTGTGAAATGGCTCCCTTTCCCTCTGGCACTTCCTGGACCCAGAGCCTTCCTCATCCCTGCCCACTCTGCCTCTCGAGGTCCCTGAACTAAGTGTCTCCTGAAGAGGGGCCCTCCCTACCTGTCTGCTCAGAAGCCAGCTCATTTTCCCT